TAAAACAATTAGATATTTGAGTATCCGTTCTTGTTGGTCATCTATTAACCATCCGAGACCACAAACGACAAGCTCTTGCAGCAATGCCATAAGAACTTGAAGCGGTTTACCTATCAGCGCGTTCAACGAATGCTAAAGAAAAAGGAAGAGATGGCAGCACCAACACCTTCCGCATCTGAGCCAATAGTTGTTACTGACCTTTCTGACAAATCGGAAGTATTTGAGACCACACGAGTGGTGACAATTGCATATGCGGAAAAAAATCACTTTATCCGTGTTTGACCAGTATTATGGAAAAGCGCGGAGTGTGACTGTGAGGTATGGGGAAAGTCGTTTAATGCTTTAGTCGATACCGGATTATCCGTTGTACCAGTATCGCTCGATACGATCCCGAAGATCGAACGATTAAACTCCATACTCCCCCTATAAGGAAAGGACAACTACGTCTCGGTGATAAGAAACCATAAACATTGTGGGGATGATTGAAAATGTAGTAGTCAAGGTTGGACGAGTGCATGTGCTAGTTAATGCGCTGGTAATTGATGTGCAAGTGTATTCCGTGTTGCTAGGATTACCCTGGGGTATGGCTGTCGACTCACGTTTGCATTTCGATTCCAAGCAGCTCATTTTCATTCATACCGGAGGAAAACTCCAGACTGTTCCCTTGCGCTTCTCCATGCGGCATCTGAGGAAAACCTTGGGGACGGTAGATAAAACTGTGCGAGTGGGAATGATCGGGACACGAGTGATCGAGAGAGATTCCTCGGCGGAAACCGACGAAGAATCTCTCCCGACCAAGGAAAGTTTGTACGATGAAAAATATTGCAGGAAACGTTTAAACCATATGCCAACTGAAGAAGAGTGGAACAAGTTGGTTCGACTCTTTGTACAGGAAGCCAAGGAGGAATTCTGAATGATTTTGAGTGCCGCGTGGTCCTGTTTGAATACTGAAAGTACTAAGTTTAGCTTTGTTTCCCCACCCTTGTTGTCTTTTCTCACTCTTATGGAAACCCGAATCCTTGTGGCTTCCTTCCCCAGTGAACCAATACTGCGGATCGCAGACATGGTAGACCTTTTGGACCCCCCTCGTACCCTTTACTTTTCTCACTCTACGAGGGTGCACTTTCCCTCTGAGGAAGGTACCGACAAATGACTCAATATCTCGATCTCTCTACCTCTCCGCGTAGACCTCTGCTTATGAAAGGTGCGATGATAGGACTAATTAGAGAAGAAGCGGAGGCGTCGATTAGTGATGTTTCAATTCTTATGGAGGAAATGACACAACTAACAAGACTGGAGATTGTGACGAGTGTTACAGATCCAAAGATTGATGCCGAAGGGAAATAACTGAAATGATCAGTCCCGCTGAGTCACAAATGCTTGCCACGATATTCTCAGTAGGAACCAGCAGTTCGATTTTTCTAGCGTGGAAGGAAGGCGTCCACTCGATCCAGATTGGATTGAGATCCGCCTCGAGATTTTCGGTACAAATTCGACAATCACAGTCTGGTCTCGTGTTCCCAAGGAAATACGAAAACTCTTCACGAAGGGATTAAATGGATATGCCGTCGTACCGAGTGTGCATGATCATGACTTGAGCATGAAATCATTACGGGGGGAACCATCCACCCATCAGCTACACTCCTTATCAATACTCCCCAGCGTAGCGGCTTGCCGTATTCCATAGAATTAAGGAGTTCGAGGCTAATGGATGGATCAAACCCGTGATTGGGCCTTGGTCTTTTCCTGTGGTGATTGTACGGAAGAAGACGGGAGGAATTCAAATATGTATTGATTATTGAAAATTAAACGATATCATGATTAAGGATGTTTATCCTCTCCCTTAGATTGATGAACTGTTGGATGTGATTGGATGTGCGCGTTTTTTCAAGAAATTTGATGTCCGTTATGGTTTTCATCACCTTCTATTCAAAAAGGAAGATTTTTCGAAGACAACGTTCGTCCTTTTTGAAGGGACATGGCAATGGATTCGATGCCCGATGGACATCTGTAAGGAACCAACCATGTTTCAGCGCGCGATGAACATAGCTTTCCAGAACTTTGTGCAAAAAATGCAGCTGGCACAGAGTATTATTAACTACTGTGTGATTGTGAATATGGATGATATTTTGGTGTACTCAAGCACCTACGAGGGTCACATCCAACACATTGAGTGGACGTTGCACGCTTTAAAAGATGCAGGTCTCAAAGTTACTCTCGAGAAGTGCCAGTTCTTCCTGACAAAGATCTCCTTTTTGGGATACGTGGTTACCGACAAGGGCTTGCAGGCAGAACCTCAGAAAGTGAAGGCGGTGAAAGACGCGCCAATCCCCACGTCGCTTATGCAAGTTCGCGCATTTCTGAGACTGACTTCATACTACTGAAGGTTTATCAAGGGATTTGAGACAATCGCGGGATCCCTCACAAACTTACTGAAAAAAGATCAGCCATTGATTTGGAACCCTTAGTGCGACCAAGCGATTCGAGAATTGAAGGCGGATCTGATTTCGGCCCCAATTCTTACGAGGTTGGGCCCAGAAAAGCCTTTTATTCTCATCACCAATTGACAGCCTGACGCGATCTCGGCGATTCTGGCCCAGCTGGGACCAAATGGGTTGGAACACGTGGTGGAGTATGCATCAAAGAAGGTGCCTCCTTGTATGAGGAACTACTCCGCGCCGACTGGAGCTTTGCTGCCTTGTGGGTAATTACCCACTTTCGAGCCTACTTATACAGATGGAAGTTCACTCTGGTCACAGATCATGAACCGCTCCTGGCCTTGAAGAAATTGAAGGATGATTTTGGTATGATAGGAAGATGGGCCACCACGTTGCAGAGCATGGAATTTGATATTCGCCACATAAAGCACGGGCGACATGGAAACGCCAACGGACTGACAAGTCTGCATCGGCCTAAAAGGGTCCCGACAAGTGAGGAAGTAACCCCGTGGAATGATCCAGAATTGAACGATGAGCATAATTACAGTGAGGTGGAGATCCTCCAAAAGGTTAGAGTCTTCACTCGGAAGCGATGGCTGCTCCGCCCTCTCTCCCCGATCTTCCTTCCCCTTCTCGGCTTTGTGACCCTTCATTCTTTTCAGATCTCTCGGATAAATTCTGTTATTTTTGTAACTGCATTTCGCGAGTTTACGGAGTGGATTTTTATCCCCACGAGTTAGGATTTGTCGATTGAGTCGATGATTGTGCCACGTCCGTCAACTGCACGCATGGCGCATGCATTCGATATCGGGTGGTTAGCAAGTTATGGAAGTGCCTTCTGTGTCGTACGATTAAGTTTCCTATGGAAGCTAGATTTGAGGCTGCTAGAACTGACGGACCCGACTATCACAAGAAGTTTCGACGGACAAATGTTTGGACGGATAAAATCCTACTGATGAAATTAGCTGGCAAACCCCTAGACGGCTACACGAAGCATGACAAAGGTCGTGCCTTCGAGAGATCTCAGGATTACCGATGGATCAACGACCATCTAGAGAAACGTAAAACAAACGGATTGGGATTATGGTTGACGGTTCCACATCCGTTCAAGAGTGTGATTGGATCCGATCCGCTCACGAGGAACAGGCCGCTCATTATGTGATACGTGTCACGAAAGGAACTATTGATCGAAATCGGTGGTTCTGGTCTAATATTCGCGAAGATGTGAGGCACTGGTCGGTAATTGTCTAGTATGTGTAGCCTATCGAGCCCCAATCCTCGTGCGAAATACCATAGTTTTGACAGAGGTAGAACGCTCCTTCTAGCGAGTCAATATGGATACTACAAATATTGACGTGCCATTTGGAGCTAATTGTTGCGAATATTCAAATTTATTGGTTTTAATTTATCATTTTTCAAAATACATAGAAGTTCATCCGTGCAAAACACGCAAGGCCTTGGAAATAGCTACCTACATCGACCGATTCCTCAATACTCATATAGAAACATAAGAGAGGTAGAGGAACTGTTGACATGTAGAGGCATCGCACTACGACACACCGCTCCGGATGTCTTCCAATCCAACGGACTTGCGGAAAATGCGAACTGCATGATTAAAACCGCCCTGCGCCTGAATCTAGCGGCTGATGACAGGCGTCTGTGGCCCCAAATAGTGTACCCGATCATAGGAATTCATCGGGCCACCCCTCACGAATCAATAGGGTTCACCCCCTTCCAGTTGCGGCTCGAATAGTATCCCCTGCGTCATCAACCGAGATATCTTGATAAGTGCCAAGCCATGGGGAAAGGACAGGCGGGCGTCCTCCGCGTGTCCTTTAAGGCTAAGGCCAAAAGGTATGCCGAATTAATGGAAAAGGCAGTCCCTAGATTGGCTCGTAAGAGGCAAAGGATGAGTGAGTTGCCCCCGGTACACAGGTCCGTAGTTATGAGGCCCGAAACGGGAATGCGGGCCCTCAAATCCGGTATGAATTGGTGGACCTGTTACAACTACATAAATGTTGCACTAGACCGGAAAATCGCTCCCAAGTTTTCTGGCTGTTTCCTCGTAGTTGAGCTAGGGTCTAACGTGGAGGTCAGGGTGTGCATCGCTCCTGAAATAGGCGCCAGCCATAGTTCCCTTCCTATCGTCTGCCAGATCTCTTATCTTCGTCCTCTTCCGTCCCCTGATCTTCTTGCTCCTTCTTCCTCGTCTCTTTCCATTCCGAACAGTGATCTTGTCCTTCCTTACTCTTCCTCATCTGATACCCTTTGCTCGCAGCCACCGCCATGAGCTTTGCACTTGAACCTGCCATCTCTGCTCGACTTCTTCAACCTCGACCATCCATGCAGTTTCGCCAAGTGGTTTATCCGCGACTTAACCCGATCTTATGTGATTCACGCAATCATTTATCGGGCAAGCTAGGTACGCAGCAGTGGAAGTCACGATTTCGACGGATCGTGGTTCATTGGTGATCGTGGTGGAAGCGTCGATGTTTCTGCGTTTCTCTCGGCCAGGACAAAGGGACGTGACTATGGTTGTCATGTTTGTGGCGAACTGTGCAGCATCGTCCCTGAACGACGATCGTCGCCAACAAAATATTGGTCTTCTGGCGCATATCTTCAATGATCTGCCTCTAAGCATCATCTCTTTCAATCCCAGTGATCCGAGCCAAATGGAGCCAGTAACCTTGGAGCGGACGCTAGCACCGACGGTCATCTGGACTAGTTGCACGGAGGACGTCAGAGATTTCTTGGCCCAGCACGACCCAACTGAGTGGAACTTTTTGGACTTGGACGACGTCTCCCCCAACAACTCTGATCTGGAAGACTTTTGGACGACCCACAGAGACAACGGGGAAGTGCCATCCGACGACGATCCCGAATCCATCTCTCTCCCCGATATGCCAAAAGAAGAAAGGAAGCCGAGGCCGAGTCCACAACTGATGAGGACGGCGACGGAGAAGAAGCAGAGAGTGAGTACGAGGAGGACAAGCCATCTACGAAGGAACTCGAAGTAGTGCCGCCAACAAGCTCGCGCCTAGCCATACCAGTGGATTCTGCTCAGAATCGCGAGTTACCTGAGGAAGTGGGTAGCCGCCACGATGGCGCAGAATCCTCCTGCCGCCGCCTCCGCCGGTCTCGCTCACCATCTCCCTCCTCTTCCGCCCCCTCCGCGCTTCGCCCTTGTCCTCCTCCCAGCTCAAGCGCTCTGTCTTCGTCCCGCCTTCTTTGTCCTCTTGATTACCTCTCCTTCTCTCAGCGCCCCCACATCGAGTTTCCCCTTGATTGCCGCACCTTCGCCAACCAGCTTTTCTACCGTCATTGTGCTGCACGCCTGCTCTGCGAAGGCGACCCCCATGACGCTCCCTCCTTTCCTCTCAATATCCTTCTCTTCAGTGTTGCATGGAGGCAGTAGAACCATGTGGAGTTGTCTTGCGTTGTCTTCGGGACCTTCCTCACCGTGGAAGATTACTAGTCCGTGTGCGATAACACCCTGCGCACGATCCCCACCTTGTATGCTGAATACCTCGCTTCCCTCCCCCGACCGAATCATTGATTCCCCCACTTTCACCGGATCGTCCATTTTGTCGATCTCGGTGACGAAGCTTCTAACTACTTTCCCCTGCTTCCCCCAATGTGGCCCCAGCCTCCTCCCCCTCCCCTTCTCGTTACTTACATCCAAGTGGAGCATAAATGAGCCAGCGAACTAGATCTAAATGATGCCATTTGGAAGACAAAAAGGCACTCCTGGACAGCAGACGGTTTCCGGTGAGCAGGGTTGTCGAGCCCCGGCGGGGGTCCGGGGGTGGGCATCCCCAACCCCGGCTCCAGACCCCCCCCCCCAAAAAAAAAAAAAAAAAAAAAAAAAAAAACATAGTGGGAGATGCGAAGCGAGAGCGCGCACCCCGTGGGCTAAACCCGAAAAATGGGGTTTTGTGCCCCACCCCGGACCCCGGGCCATACCCACCCCTGGGGGGGGGTAGCTGCGGGTGCAGGGCCGGGGGCGGGGCCAACAGCTGGCAGCGGCAGGGTTGAGTGCTGGCGGGGGTGGGGGTGCGGG